GTCCTCGGGGCGGCGGCCGGGCGGCCAAGGACACCTGCAGGCTTCCACGGCTGCGCTGAGCGGGAGTCTCAGCGCAGCGCTCCGGCGCCGGGTTCCTGCGATCTGGCGGCGCTGGGAGCCGCGCCATCCACGCGTCTGCCCATCTCCGGGCTGGCCGCCGGCCTTGGCTCTCGGCAGAGGGCCGGCAGGAGGTGGACTAGGGAAGAGGATGCCTGGGCGCCGGTGCTGGGACTCCGGGGCTTGGTTCTGCGTCTTCTCCCCCGCGATCGCTCCGGGATGGCGCCTTTTCCTCGCGGCCCCGTTTGGCCTGGGCGCGCCCTCCGCCGGGAGGGGTGGGCGGGGCGCAGCGCGGGGCCGACCCGGCACGCTGCGGGGCCCGCGCAGATCGAGCTCAGCCTTCTCCGGTGCAGCAGATCCCGGTCCAGGCGCGTAACCCCCTAGCCGCCAGTGCCCAGCCGAGCGCGCCGCCCCTGCGCGCCTCCGCTAGCATCCCCTCCCACCCCCCGGGTCCCTCTCCCCGCCTCTCCTGAGCCGCTCGGCTCCTCCCACTGCAGCCCGGGTGACACCCAAGCGCTCCAGACCCCTAACCCCTAACCTCCGCCCACCTCCTCTTGCAGAACCTATTTCCCTTTCCTCGCCAAGCCAAGCCAATGCTCTAGATTGCCTTTTCACTGTGGCTGCTTGGAGACCAAGATGGAAGAGAGGCTGCCCTCGCCTGCCCCAGACCACCTTGTCCCCATTCTGCCCCTTGGAAGCTTGTTGGCTTTTTCAGATCAAGGTTGGCCCCTCCACCACCTGAGCCATACTTTCAGCTAGGCATTTTTGCTGGTTAAATTGGAGCTAGGGTCTTGGCTGCCTGGACTGGCTTGGAACCTTTGATCCTCGTGTCTCAGCCTCCCTAGTAGCTAAGGATTACAGGCTAGAGCCACTCGTGCACCACCATGCGCTTCATTCTTTATGGCTCCTGTCACGGTCATCACAATTCCCACAGGAACTAGACCACTGGAAATAGGACCTGGCCTTGGGAAGAGAAGTCTGGTTTGAGTGGAGAAATGTGGGGTGGTCGGTGGCCTTGAAGATCAGTAGGTTACAGCTCTGGTTCATGGCAGGGCACATGGGAAGCGCCGGGTCCTGCTTTGTGACCACCACTCCTGTTCCACTCCTAGCAGCTTTGCCTGGAATCTGCCTCCTCTCCTCTCCCTTCTCTGACCCTGAGCTCCTAAAGGCCACACTGTGCTTTTTTGGTCTTGATAGCTCTCACAGTGTCTGCCTCTGAGAATCTGTTCGCTAAGTGATTGAGAAGCTGCCACATCCAAAGCATTAGGCACCAATTGGACTTTGCTGGCCCCATCCCAAGAGCGACTTCCAGATTCGTTTGTTTTTATACTCAGAACCTCTCTTACATCTTTAATTAATATCTCCACCCCTCCCCTCCTAGAAGTCTGACTGGGTTATATAAGGAGGATTTGGGGGCAGAAAAGTAAGGTGACGGACATACCTTCCCTGAGCACCTGTGCGCCATACCACTTCCTGGTTAGGCACTATCTAGCTATACTGGAAGGGGGAAGGGGGGCTTTCATGTATCCCCCCCAAAAAAGTTAGAGGCCTAGAACAAAGACAAAGGATTTTGTGTGTGTGTGTGTGGGGGGGGGGTGTCTGTATGTGCCAGCCTGTGTCCTGAACTCAAAGATGGCACTCTATTACTTGAGCTACATCTTCACTTCCAGCAATGGATTTTTATAAGCAGAAGTCTCATCATCAATGAGGTCATAAAAACAAACATGACTATGATCTTTGATGATCTGTACTAATATGCAGAGATGTGTGCCATCCTAAAATGAACACACATTGGTAAACATCTTCTCCGTGCCCAGTTGCCTCTCTCCTCAGACCCAATGTCTGCATTTTAGAGTTTAGCATTTAGAGGTTGCGGCAGAAAAATATGACTGAGAAGATACAGGACTGGCCAGGGCTCAAATAAGGAAGAACAACTGAAAGGATATTAAAGAATTAACTAATGGTGCCTTTAAAGCTCTCTCTTGGCTATGTCCTGACAAGCCCCTTGGAATCTCTCTCCTCTTTCCATTCTTCAGTGGCTGATTCCAGTCATTCTGGAGAAAAAGGGGAGTGAATGAGTGAGAGAAAACATCCCAACATCCCACCTCTGGAACATCTATCCACTCAATAAACACAATGCCTACCACCTTCCAGAAGTTACTCCAGGCACTGGACATCCATCTGTGAAGAAAATAGCTCTTGTGCCAGGGAACCTCTGCTTCCCTTCTATGGTGCTGGTGGGTGATGATGAGCACCCAGGGAGATGGTGAAAGGAGAATTCTTCCAGGGAAAAAAGGAGGCCAGGAGGGAAGAGAAAGATGGGAAATCTGGCATGGGAGTAGGGGAAGCCAGGACCAGCTGAGGAAAACAGGCATCCTGGTATAGGAGGGCTGCTGGCCAGCCCCCAGAGTTGGGAGCTTAATCTCAGGCCAGAGGCCTCCAGAGAAAGCTTTGCCACTCACTGAAGATTTTTCTTCTGCATGTCTGGACTGATCTGTTTCCTGAGTCTGGGCTTTTCTGGGAGATATTGTGCTATGGTTGACATCATGGGACTTATTCCATGAGCTCCTCGTGTGTATTCATATTATTCCTCTCAAAAACAAGAGAACCCATGTTAGGGGAGGAACACAAAGGCACAATTCCTATGTGCCTCTGATCATATACAATAATATTTGTCGAAATGAATCCAGGCAATGGGACAAGAGGTTTATTTCTTTGTTGTTTTTGTTTTCTTTTTGTCTTGTTTGTTTATCTGTCTTTAGGAGGCTAAAGGTGGGCATGGAAATGGAGGGGAAAGGGGTAAACGAATGCAGTAGTGGCACTCACTGGATGGTATGTTGAGAATGAACTATACAAATGTGTGTGGGTTTGGGAGGGGAAAACTGGGAGAAAGCAAGAGAAGGGTGATGTGCAAAAGGAAATGTACTTGTTCCCTGACTTACGTAAGTGTAACCCCTCTACGTATCACCTTTACAATAGCAGTTTTAAAAATTAAAAAAAGAAGGGGGGGTGGTAAACCCAAACAGAACACAGTGCCCAGGAATTTGATAGGAAAGCCCTCTCTACCTGATTGCTGGGTGCCTGCCTACTGTGGGTGGGAAGGTGCTGCCCTCTGGTGGTTGATGCTAGGACAACTTGGATCTGGGCCTCCCCACCCTTGAAAAGGCAGGCGGGGGTGGGGGGTGGGGAGGGAGGTTGCTGCTGTTGGGTGGGGCAAGGTAGAGGGGAGTGTTGGATTAGTCCAGGGCTTCCCAATGATTCTGGGGTATCAGGTGTTTTCCTAGATTCATGCTCCCATCCAGAACTCTGCCTTTTCTCTCTCCTTTTTCATTCCTCAGTATCTTGATAGCTGGGTGCTGGTGGCAACCTATCAGAACCAAGGTGGGTACTAGTAGTTCAGGTCTATAATAGAGCTAGTGGAGAGGCTGAGATCTGAGGATCTCATTTCAAACAAACTGTTAACTTCAATGAACTAGCAACACTAACACTGCAAGGGGAGATGTTTTTCAAGCGGTATAATGGCAGCTTGGAGCAGAAAAGGCTAAGTGAGAGCATAAGCCCTGAGTTCAAGCCCCAGTACTAGGCCAACGCAATGCATGTACACATACACCCACACCCACACACCCACACCCACATCTTGGTTGAAGCAAGTTGCAGGTTGAAGCAAGACTGGCAGCCAGAGCTGGAAATTATTTCCCAGAACTTTCTTCCCCATTTTCATCTTTTCTCTACCCTCTCCCCCAGGGCACCCTGTATCTTCTGGCTGTAGGCAAGAGCAGGTGACTGGGAGCCAATTCGCACTATGATTTCCCTTAGTGGATTTCTCTTAGTGGATTTCCCTCACCAGGATTAGGGGCATTGCTAAAAAACAGGGAAAGATGTTTGATTCCAGAACAGCAAGCTCCCATAACCTTCCAGAGTCCCTCAAAGAAAACCCTTGCCTTCTAGACTCTGAGGCTTTTACTGAAGTAGTAAACCTAAAATCAAAGCTTTTTACGTTACTTCTTTCTCCATTGGGGGTTTCTGTGAGCAGAGAGTCTTTGGGTATGATCTCCCTTCTACTTTCCTTCTTTGGGCTTCACTTGTTTTGAGGGGCTCCAGGTCAAGGAGTAGACTCCAGGAGTGACCCAGCAAGGTTATATCCCTTGGTACTCACATCTCTCTTTTTTGGCATTTCAGCTCCTGCCAGGGAACACCAACCCCTCCTCCTTCAGGTTCAGGCCAAGAA